CAACTCTGGTGTAGAGACTGCATGTAGCCCATGGACGACACAGTGTACTTGTCTGGTACAGAGTTATTAAATCAGAAATCTTTAGTAAGAGTTCCTTTTCATATGCCAATATTATATAATCATGTCTTGAATCCTGTTGTTAACATAATATTAGGCCTGTGCGGTTTCGTTCGTTAATTTCGTTATTCGTTAAACATTCGTTATTTTTGGCATTTACGAGGCGATATCAAAACACTTTTTCAAACCCGGAAGGGTTTTAAAATATCGAAGCGGCATCCCCCATCCTTTTAACGAGCTTCCGCCCGTTTCGGAAATTGGATGGAGGATGCTGGTGCCTGGGAGCCAATCCGGCGCTCCCAAGCACCCAAGCAGTGCACCGTGGCTGATTTTCATTGGCCGGCAAGGCCTTTAAAAGCGGCTCCGCGTGGCCGCAGAGCTCATTTGTTGCGCGGAGGCGAGGGAGGAGAGAGGTCCGGGAGGGCTGCTGCTTTGGGTTGGCTTGGGCAGGAAAAAGACTTGCATTGGGTTGGCTTGGTTGAAAAGAGTAGACTCTTCTGTTGGTGTGTGCTTTTGGCTGTCTTTTGGCTGTGTGTCTCCTGCCTGTGTTAGCTTTTATTCTTTAAAATTCTTTAAAATTTTATTCTTCTGCCTTTTATTCTTAAAAAAATACAAAAAATATTCCAAAAAAAGAGAAGACTCTTCTGTTGGTGTTTGCTCTCGTTTGTCCTGTCTCGTGGCTGTGTTAGCTCTACATCAGGGCCAGTTTTTGGTTAATTTTCCATTTTTGAATATTTTAAAAAAATACCTGTCTTTTATTCTTAAAAAAAACCCAAAATATTCCAAAAAAAGAAAATACTCTTCTGTTGGTGTGTGCTCTCACTTGCCCTGTCTCGTGGCTGTGTTAGCTGTTCATCAGGGCCAGTTTTGGGTTGTTTTTCCATTTTTGAATATTTTCTAAAAATACCTGCCTTTTATTGTTAAAAAACCCAAAATATTCCAAAAAAAGAAAATACTCTTCTGTTGGTGTGTGCTCTCACTTGCCCTGTCTCGTGGCTGTGTTAGCTGTTCATCAGGGCCAGTTTTTGGTTAATTTTCCATTTTTGAATATTTTTAAAAAATACCTGTCTTTTATTCTTTAAAAAAATACAAAAAATATTCTAAAAAAAGAAAATACTCTTCTGTTGGTGTTTGCTCTCACTTGCCCTGTCTCGTGGCTGTGTTAGCTGTTCATCAGGGCCAGTTTTTGGTTAATTTTCCATTTTTGAATATTTTCTAAAAATACCTGCCTTTTATTGTTAAAAAAAACCCCAAAATATTCCAAAAAAAGAAAATACTCTTCTGTTGGTGTGTGCTCTCACTTGCCCTGTCTCGTGGCTGTGTTAGCTGTTCATCAGGGCCAGTTTTTGGTTAATTTTCCATTTTTGAATATTTTTTAAAAATACCTGTCTTTTATTCTTTAAAAAAATACAAAAAATATTCTAAAAAAAGAAAATACTCTTCTGTTGGTGTGTGCTCTCATTTGCCCTGTCTCGTGGCTGTGTTTGGTCCACATCAGGGCCAGTTTTTGGTTAAGTTTTCATTTTTGAATATTTTCTAAAAATACCTGCCTTATTCTTAAAAAATACAAAAAATATTCTAAAAAAGAAAAAACTCTTCTGTTGCTGTGTGCTCTCATTTGCCCTGTCTCGTGGCTGTGTTTGGTCCACATCAGGGCCAGTTTTTGGTTAATTTTCCATTTTTGAATATTTTCTAAAAATACCTTCCTTTTATTCTTAAAAAAAACAAAAAATATTCTAAAAAAAAAAGACTCTTCTGTTGGTGTGTGCTCTCGTTTGCCCTGTCTCGTGGCTGTGTTTGGTCCACATCAGGGCCAGTTTTTGGTTAATTTTCCATTTCTGAATATTTTCTAAAAATACCTGTCTTTTATTGTTAAAAAAATACAAAATATTCGCTTTAACGAATAGATTCGTTATTATCTCAATATCGAATCGAATCGTATTTAATAACGATGTTTCGGAAGCCGCTTTTGCGCATGCGCGATCGCGTCCGCCATTTTAACGAATCGATTCGTTATAACCTTAACGAATCGACCTCCGCGCCAATAACGAAGATTCGGAAGTGATTCTGCGCATGCGCGGGGGGTCCGCCATCTTTACAAAATGTTTTGTAAATATTTACGAAATTTCGTAAATACCGAAACTTTTTTTGGGAAAGTTTTGTAATTATTTTAAATATCGAAACAAAAAAAACACCCCAATTACAAATCGATTTTAGAAACAAATTTTTTCTTGATCAACCAGGCCTACATAATATTATGCTATGCCATGTTATGTGCTTTCAAGATCGTGTGAAAAGAAGGTATCTAGTACCTCCTTTTTTCAACACTCACCATTCCCATCATGTGCACAAACCTATCAGGTGTACTCACTGGAAAACTGGGGCCATGCTGATTCCATGCTGCTTTGAACTAGATTATATGAGTCTATGCTGGAATATATGGCAGTGTAGATGAGGCCTGGAGCACAGCAGCTCTTCCTTTTTACCAGTTATAAATATTTCCACATAGCTGAATAAAATCCCACATTTTCTCATTTGAACTGCAATATATGGCAATGTGGATTCAGATAACCCAGTTCAAAGCAGATATCGTGGTATTTTCTGCCCAGATATTCTGGTTTATATGACTGGATGGGCCCTCCATTACCATCCCAGCCACTCCATTACCATCAACTGGAATTGCACATGGGAACACTGAGATTTCTGCTCTTCCAGAAATCATACAGTTTCTCTGTCACAGATTCAAAGATTGCTGATATTTGTACCTGATCTCTACTGTCTTCCTTGCAGTCATGTGATTGTTGTATTTATTTCACTTGGTTTTATTGCACTTCTTTTATTGAACTTGATGGAGGTAACATCTTTGCTGTGTGTGGAATGTCATTTTGCAGCGATTCCCATTCAATTCACTTACTGAACAATGTGCCTCCCATGGCTTTTGACTAAATGAGCTTCGTCTGCTAGCCAAATTGCAAAGTATAGATCATTTTCATCATGTAAAATTCAGTATGATTTTATTAATAACTAACACACCCAGTGTCATTTACTTGTCTTTATTGTCATAGCCTCAGTTTATCTTAAAAAATGTTTTCAATCTCTAGTAATTTTTACTCATACTTTAAAACGTAATCTTGGATACTATCAACAGCAAATTATTATGATGACTGAAGCTGCAATCCAGTCCTAATTATACTTGCTGGGACGTATCAATGGATCTTACTTCTGAATCTGCATAAAAGCTGATGGTTGGGACAAGATGTGATATAATTTAATCTCAGAAAGAATGTAATCAGACTAAACTATGATCAGACTATTGTGACAAGTGTGTTTACATTACATAGCTATGCGTAATCCGGTGATCTACATATCAAAACACTATGCTGTAAGGTTAATGCAGTCGACTTTTTGTTCTGTTCACACTCAGAACAGTTCCTGCCCCCCCCCAAAGGTGTACTATCTACACTGTAAAATTAATCTAGTTCAACAACACTTTAACTGCCGCAGCTCAATATTATAGAATTCTGGGATTTGTAGTTTGATAAGGCACTAGCATTATTTAATAGAAAAGGCTACAGACTTGTAAAACTACAATACTTATGACCCCATTTCATGAGCCATGGAAGTTAAACTGGTGTCAAACTGAATTAATTCTACAGTGTAGATTCACCCACATAATTCTGCAGAATGGAGCCATGATGGCTAAAGTGGTATCAAACTAGCATAAACTATAGTCTGTACATTTGTACATGTTTTCCTTATGAACCATATTTCATTTTGTCATAAAGGGATTATTCTAGTAAAGGTAAAGATAATGGTTTCCCCTTGACATTAAGTCTAGCCGTGTCCCACTCTGGGAGGTGGTACTCATCTCCATTTCTAAGCTGAAGAGCCGGCGTTGTCCATAGACACCTCCTAGGTCATGTGGCCAGCATGATTGCATGAAGCGCTGTTACCTTCCTGCAGAAGTAGCACCTATTGATCGACTCATATTTGCATGTTTTTGAACTACTTGGTTGGCAGGAGCTGGGCTAACAGCGGGAGCCCACCCTGCTCCCCAGATTCGAACCGCCAACCTTTCAGTCAGCAAGTCCAGCAGCTCAGTGGTTTAATCCGCTGAACCACCGGGGGGCCTATTCTTGTCTTGTCCTTAAAAATCCTGCATGAAAAGGAGGAAGGAGGTGAAAAAAGGCACCTTTAGCTGGTTTTTATTTTAGCACGAGCTCTTGAGGATACAAGCCCACATCTTCAGATGCAGCAAATGACATATAGAGAATGAAATGTTACAGTTATGATTTTACCTTGCCATATTAAACAGCAAAAATCTGTTTAAAAGAAGACAAGTTTACTGTTCACTTAATAAGCTCCAGCACTGTGTAGTCTCATGCTAAGTAATGAGATCTGGGAACAATAGGAACAGCTTGACTTCTCCTTTGCAATAAGCATTTGGACATATCTAAAAATGGCCTTTGCTGTAGTTAATAAAGGCCATGCCACATATGAACAAAAAAGGCTTTGTGACAAAACAGTGAGAAAAAGAAGGAAGACAACACCCCCTGCCGGCCAGTTTCATCATAGAATTGCTTTTGTATTACTACTGATAACTTGAACTTCTGAGAAGCAAGCTGTTAAAACCATATTGAAAAGCTTGTCCTCGCAGAATCATTTAACTTTACTTTCTTAGCTGACGGCAAATCACAGAGATACTATTGCTTATAAAAGACCCCAACACTTCTCTTCATGGCCAATGTCTTAAATCAAGAAACAGCTTCCTGAGATCTACAGAGATACTCACAGCAACACCTCAGCAAGTCAGAGTCCAAAAGTGACAGGCAAAAACCCAGAACCTCAATCCACAGTTCCACTGCAATTCTGGAGAAAAAGGCACCCACTACTTTGTAATCTTTTAATTTTACTTTCCCCTCTTTGTCTTGATGTATTTTCAGGTGTGCACCTTCCATTTGCTCTCTCTGCTTGCCAGGAATCAAATGTACCTTTTCATACTGTGAAGCCCGAGGACAACTATGAAGGGACACGTTTGACCCAAATGTTTTATCAGCCCATCAAGAAGATTCAGCAGTAAGAGAATGATTTTATCTGCTTAACAATATAAGTGCTGTAGGTGAAATTAGATGTTATATTTCCTGCACAGGGATATTTTCATTCCCTTGTGATGCTCATGGTGGGATTGTGGGGGACATTTTCAGAGATAAACACTTATTGCCAGGAATGCTTTCCTTGTCTACCAGTTCTCCCCCATTTTTCATTTTTAATATCTCCTTGCCCCATGGAGGTTAGCTAGAATGTTTGATGTATTTGACCCTGAAAGACAAATCGAGAATCTTCTTTGAGTTCCCCATGTTAACAAAATAAAGAAAACATTTCCTTTTAGATGAATCAACAGTGTTATATCATTTTGTTGTTATTGTCCAGGCATCAAATACCAATTGAAGTTGACAATAAAGGAGCCTTTAAAATCCAAGACCTTTCAGTCATCATCAAAGTATATGTCCTAGTGACCTCTCTAACACCTCTGAGAGCATTCATCCATTCAACTGGTGTTGTCTTGTATGCACCCAAAAAGAAGCACTTTTCAGTCAAGGTAAGATGGCATTTCCTCCTTTCATTTCAGCTTTTGGTTTAAAAGGGAGGGAGGGAGCTGTGAAACTGGAAATGATCTGATTTCCTGTCATGGTGGGAGCCCAGTGTGACTCTAGGAAAGATATGCAAGTAAAAGATGCCTTTAATAGTTGACCATCTCTTCCTGAGTAACAGAAATCATTATACATGAACTTCCTTTGAACTTTATGCAGGAACTGAATTGTATTCAGAAGTTGCATATAAAGACAACCACTGATTAATAGTGAAGATGTGCAATATTCAAACTCAGCCAAGGGAGGTTTTATAGGCCAGATTATTCAGTTGCCAACTTTTTAGTTGGTCATATACTTATAAAGAACAGAATTAACCTAGTATAGGCTATAGAACAGTGGTTCTCAACCTGTGGGTCCCCAGGTGTTTTGGTCTACAATTCCCCGAAATCCCAGCCAGTTTACCAGCTGTTGGGATTTCTGGGAATTGAAGGCCAAAACATCTGGGGACCACAGGTTGAGAACCACTGCTATAGAAGATATGAGCATAGGGACTAATACAAACAGATAAATCCATGAAAGTGTCCATATCATTAAGAACTAGCTTCAGTCTAGGAAAAATGCCAGATTCTTAGTGGAATGTAAATAAAGATGAAAGAGTAGAAGTTGACCACCAGGAATGAACTCTGCTAGGAGAATGCTATACGATGCTAGATGACAGGCAGCAAAAGACTTCTAAGTGATCATGAGATAAAGACCTCTAGTGTAGTTGACATATACATAGATTAAACAACTGGTTAGCTGAGTAGGCACAAAGAGAGACTACATACTGCTGGCAAATGAGACCACCTGTTTGTGTGTATCCAATGCTAGTCAAACATGGTGATACAGATGGATTGTGTATAAACAGATATAAAACAGAAATACATGTCCTACTCTTCTTGAAATGGATGACAATTTACATGTTTATAGTAATGGATGTTGTTAAGATTTAACAATGCTCAAGGAGAACAGTCCTTGAATACCTGTATATTCACAGAAGTGTGGTAGAGATTTAAAGTTCCACAAACAGATGAGAATATATACAGTAGTTAAATGAGTGAATGGCTAAGTTTGCAATGTTAAGATAGCTATAGATACAAAGAAAGTCATCATGAAATATTTGTATAATGCCTTAGCAGATACTGTGCAAAGTCCATGATGATGCTGAGGAATAAAAGGCAACGTTAAATGGTCTAGAAGGGTCAGGTTCTTACATGTGTTTCCTAGCACGTAGCCTATACAAGGAGATATAGAAATGAAGTCCCCATGAAATATTTTGATGAAAAGGTAACATCTTGATGGCGATATGATGTAATGTACTGACTATAAGATGCAATGCAATGTAATGAAATTGAGCACCCAAACATTGCCATGTGTTTCTCCGTAAGGAGATCCTTATGTTTATATATCTATACACCTATATATAATTCTCTATATACAGACAGTTTTAATGGTTAATTTTAAACTTCCACTGTTTGCCTAATTTTTGTTTTGTATATTTTGGTGTATATTTTATGGAAATATCTTTAGATATATGTATTCTATGGAGTGTTTTAAAATGATTGTGTGTTTATGTTTTAGTAATGCTGTAACCCACCTTGAGCTGTGATGAGAGGTGGGCAGGAAATAAAACTATTATTATTATTATTATTATTATTATTATTATTATTATTATTCAAAGATTAAAAATTGWCAGAGAGCAGACTCATATTTCTCATGCATATATRTTGAAATTCCAYTGCTTAAGAATGCTTAAGTGGGTGGTAACTGTGACTATTTGATTGAACCACCATCATGATTTATATCAGTGGTTCTCAACCTGGGGTCCCCAGATGTTTTTGGCCTTCAACTACCAGAAATCCTAACAGCTGGTAAACTGGCTGGGATTTCTGGGAGTTGTAGGCCAAAAACATCTGGAGACCCCAGGTTGAGAACCACTAATTTAGATACTCAGGTAGATAGAATCATAGAATCATAGAGTTGGAAGAGACCTCATGGGTCATCCAGTCCAACCCCCTGCCAAGAAGCAGGAAACTCACATTCAAAGCATCCCCGACAGATTGCAATCCAACCTCTATTTAAAAGGCTCCACCACACTCCYGGGCTGAGAATTCCACTGCTGAACAGCTCTCACAGTTAGGAAGTTATTCCTAATGTTKAGGTGGAATCTCCTTTCCTGTAGTTTGAAGCCATTGTTCTGCATCCTAGTCTCCAGGGCAGCAGAAAACAAGCTTTCTCCCCCCTCCCTCTGATTTRCRCTCATATATTTATACATGGCCYTCATGTCTCCTCTGCAGGCTAAACATGCCCAGCTCTTTAAGCCGTTCCTCATAGGGCTTGTTCTCRAGACCCTTGATCATTTTAGTCACCTTCCTCTGGACGCATTCCAGCTTGTCAACATCTCCATTAAATTCCAGTGCCCAGAATTGGACACAGTATTTCAAGTATGGTCAAGGCAGAATAGAGGGGTAGATGGAAGGTGGTGGCATGTGACATCTTAACAGATGGGCCAAAACTAACAAAATGAATTTTAACAGTGACAAATGCAAGATACTCCACTTAGGCAGAAAAAATGAAATGCAAAGATACAGAACAGGGGACACCTGTACATGTGAAAAATATATTGGAGTCCTCGTGGACAACAAGTTAAACATGAGCCAACAATGTGATACGGTGGCAAAAAAAGGCTACAAAAGAATGATTTAGGAGGTGGCCCCTGACATGAATTCTTCATGGAGCAATTCATCCTATGGTCGGGACAATTCACCATAATGCTCTGAATTATCACAAAATCTTTCTTTTTAAAAAATTAAATAAAAACTCATAATTCATGTTGAATCAAGTTATGTGTAGGAGCTAAGGTAATAATACATGTAGGCTAGAAAAATAGTCATGTCCTATAGTTAGCATTTGAACCTAGTGATGCAATCATTTCTCTTCAGTGCTTTCTTGAGACATCATTTTTCATCTTGAGCTTGCTTTTTTTTTTCAAAAGCTCTAGCACAAGATTGTCCTTTCTGATAAAAAGCACTGTAGGAGACATTGTTGTGAAGCATACAACATTTCAATTTTGTTTTCAAAAAGTCATCTTGATGTGGAAAGAGGGTGAGTGATTTCATGCAAAACTTACATGGGAAAGAAATGGAACAATCAGCCCATCCACAAAATTTCCCCATATATGTACACAGATGCTCATGGGAAAGACATCATATCTGTATTTGATGTCATGTGCAGACTTATAACAAGTAACAATTAAATACCTTCTTTTTGAACAATTACAAGTATTCATACATTTAGAAGGAGTAGTAAAGTTACCAGATTATCTCTGATCTTGGAAGCTAAGCTGGGCCACCCTGGTTAGTACTTGGGTGGCTGATTGCCTCTGAATACTAGATGATGTAGTCTATTTCAGAGGAAGGAGCTGGCAAAGCCATCTCTCAATATTCCTTACCTAACGATACCCTATGAAATGTATGGGGTATCCATAATTTGACATGTGATTTGAAGGCAAGTGCCCACAAACACATATACACAGACTTTTGATCAAAATGCTAAAAGGAATGTTGGTTTTATCAATCAACACCACAGAACTATTTATTACATGCATTCAGCATGATTTCATCCTTTTGAAATGCACTGGAATTATTTTTTCTAGTTTTCTGAACATTTCCACCAATATTTTTTGAGAGGGCTTGCCATTGACTATTGCATCCAATTCCATTGTTGTCCAGTAGATGGCGATGGTGTGTTAATTAGAACTACTATTTCAGGCAGGCAGTGCATCATATTCTATCTACAGATAGTGTACTTTTAATAGATTCTTAATAGTTGTATGTCCACACAGGAGTGAGTGAAAGAATGACTGTACTCTGTAATAGGAGAGAAGATTGTTTGCTGTTTTTAAGAGTACATTTTTGAAAAAAGATGTTAGCTGCAGAACGGAAGTTCACTAAACGGAAGAGGAGAAAAACAATACTGCCTGTATTATGAAATGTGTAGTGGATTTGTTTATAGCTCTTATGTCTACTAAGGCCCCTTATACACTACCCTATATCCCGGGATCTGATTCCAGATTGTCTGCTTTGAACTGGATTATATGATCCTACACTGCCATGTAATCCAGTTCAAAGCTGATAATCTGGATTTTATATGGCAGTGTAGATGGGGCCAAAGTTTCATCCTGATGTAGAAAATGGAAGATATCAACCAGGGGCATAGCTGGGTAGAAAAGGCAAAATGAAGGCACTAATAAAAATATTGCAATCTCAGTGAAATTTTCCTTGAGACTCCAAAATTCTAGTATTGTAGCAATTTCAAACGTTCATTGAGCATTTCAAAATAGAATTGAGACAATCAAAACAAAGGGGCAAGAAATGTGATGAAAAGAATGTGGGCACAGCAAATATGATCATTTTGAGGTGTGACTAATTTTTAGTATGTTATTCTCTGCAGTGCTAAAATTTAGGGAAAGGAGAGAAATTTTATAGGGCACAGAATTCTTATTTGTGGGGTCATTCATCCCCTGCCCCCGTCTCCAGCATTGTCCCACAGCATTGCACTGCATGAGATGAAACAGCAAATGGTTCTCACCCTCCCACCTACGGTCAAGGTGCCTGGTGGGAAATACGTGAATACAGTGGGACCTCTGTATTTGTGTGGGATTGGTTCCAGGACACCCCACAAATACCAAGAAATGCAGGTGCTCAAGTATTTTATATAAAGGGATTATAAGGGAGCTTGAGGGCCACTTGATCCTTTCAGCCTAGTCCTGAAGGTGGCAGCCAATGCCTTGCATATACCTAAGCAGCTTGACAAGCACTTTCTAATCTTACTTTCTTCCCCAAACACTAATCCCAGTCTCCCTCCTCACTCTGACAACCACTCCAAGAATCACTTCCCCTTCTTCCTCCCTCATGCTCACTTTCTCACCCCACCTCAATGGTTTCTTCACTCCCAGCAGGGAAATAATGCAGAAGATAATATTTTGATTTTTAGAATTATTTTCAATCTGCAGTGGGTTGAATCCAACTAATATTTGCATTCTAATATTTCCCAAACAAACCATTATTAGGTTGATAGATACAAGAGTGTGAGTCGCCCCCGGGCTGAGAACAGCGGTATATAAGTAAAGTAAATAAATAAAGTAAATAGGAGGGGGGGGGGCATTATGTGAGCTTTAGTTAAAACACAACTTAGAAATATAAGTTTTTATGAGTAAAGGATCCAGAATCCTCCAATTTACTATAAGCACAGACATTAATACTTTCAAGTTATACATTATTTATATATCAGCAATGTGGCTGTGCAACAAATTGCACATTGCTGCCACATTTTCCAATTACTGTTTTGTTCCTGATGACAAATGTATAAATGACTGAATATTGAAAATGGAAATAATATCTGGAAATATTCAAATAATTTTCAAGGTAACCGTGTTTCTAGAATGTAAAGGAGTCCTGACAAGGCGAGAATATTTGTAGTCTGGGACATTTTTGTGAAAATTCACACAGAACACAAGTCCTGTGTAGTTTTCAAACACTTTCTTACCGCAGGAAGGATTCATTTTAACAACAAAATTACACCTCCCACTCAAAACTCACACAAACGGCCCTGTGAATGAGACTTCATTGTAGGCATTTTGAGTGGGTTCTCATCTATTGTTTGTTACTGTGAAAGTTAACAGTACTGGGATGTAAATCTTCAATTCTCAGAATTTGATGATGGTAAAGAAATATGTTTGTGTATTTATGTATTTATTTTGATTTTTTGTTCTATTTCTCTCACATTTCTCTCCGAAGGGAATCCACTGTAACTTGTAAGGAGATTACAAAACAGCAGGGCTGGTATTCTAGATCAGATACTTATGTACATTACTTACATAGTTAAATAGTATGTTACTCTAGATAATGCATTTGTAATGGCAATCATGAATTCCAGCCCAGAGGATTTTATGATATGGTTTATCGCCTTCCTTTTTTGTTTACAGCTGCAAGCCTTTTTTGAGAACTTCTTCACCACCAGCTCCCCTCAGCAGGCTTTGGATGACATGAAAGAAGCAATAAGCAAACTCTTATTAATAACTGAGGTTTTCAGCGAAGCGCCTTCATCTGGACCAAAGGCTTCCAGCCAGTGAGTAGATGGAAATAAAGAAATGCCAATTTTTATTAGGAAAAAAATGCTTTGGCTTTGAGAGGAGAATGGATTTGATTTCCAAAGTTTAGCGCGTAGTAGAAGCTTTGCAACCCTGCCCAGATGGGCTGGTTTGAGAGCTCTAAAATGCAGACACAGCTTTGGCTGGATCTGCACTGCCATATTATGCAATTTGCTGCTGTGTTGAACTACATTTTATGGGTTATTTATTTATTTTATGTCAAAAGCATTGCATAAATAAATATAAAACTGATAAAAAAGAAGGAACACAAGAGGTCTAATAATTTTTGACCAAAACCGGGCAATTTTAACTGCATTGTCTGTAGCTTTAAACAATTCTTCCTCTGTGTATGAGGCAGGGCATTCTGGACAAGCATACATATGCAGAGTTGTTTGTTCTGCTCCACGTTTTGCCAGGTTGACTTTTGATCTGCCCACTCAGATTCTGAGTCTGTTGAGGGACTTCTAAGTTGCCCATTCCTGGTTTGCCCTTGAAGACAGATGCTCATGGACGGCCATCCATTTGGGATTTCCTGGTTTAGCTACCCAGAGGGATACTCTTGCTGTTGCTGGGGAAACATTTAGATGAGTGGTGGTTCTCATGAAGCTTTTCCTTGATTTGAGTGTACTGGGAGGACTTTATGGGTCTATACGTACCATGCAGTGCAGTTCTGAACTGCATTATATGACAGTGTCCATCCAGCCTATATGATTCATGAAGATGTAAGGACAGTGAGTTGGAGTAAGTTTGCAAGGGGAGGCAGATTTTCTGTTGCCATTAATGTAAAGCTATTTCTTTGCTCTGCCCATACACAAAGCAAGAGTATATAGCTAAATATATATTGAGATGCAGCATGACCCCCAGATCTATGAGGATTACATACCCAAACTTCTCACGGATTTGTAAAATTACTGATAATATTTTCATGCTCAGAGCAAAAATAGAGCATTTATTATCTCTTCACCAGCTCTTGTCCTATGGAGGAAGTTCCTCTGCTTCATCATCCAAGATGATTCAGGGCTGTGAAGCAGTGCTACTCCAACTTGAAATTATGTATATAAAAATTAGTGTATGAAAATGAAACAGCTACATTTTAGTTTTTGTCATCTTATTTTAGATGCAGTTCATGCTTTCAGATGCTAACCTTTGACATTGGGTTCAGCTCTTCTATGCATCCAGTTGTTCTTGAGGTAAGCAAATGTCAATAATACACAAGCAACTCATTAGGAGATGGAACCCGTATAATTGCATGAGAGGGGATTCTTTACTGAATTAGCAGATAGGGAGGACCCCACCTTACATCAAAAGATGAATTGCTTGTACCAAAGAAGGTTCATGGAGTTAATAATTACATGTTTCTGACACCTTGTATAGACAGCATGAGCTAGAATGGGTACAGTTCTGAGTACCAGAGGAAACTCCACCTACTCAGCTTGTGTCTAACAACTCTGTATCTCTATCTAACAAATGAGTAGAAGTTTCTACTAATACAAGAGGGTAGGTAGTGAACTTAATTGAAGTTCTGTCTGTCACTCAGCTGAAGTTGATGCAAAATATCTTCAGGTGCAGTTTTCATCTTCATTGTGCCAGGTAAAGCATGAGTTGTGTTTCTGGGCACAATTCAAAGTAGTGGCCACAGCCTAAAAAGTCCTTTTATAGTTTGGATCCTGAGCCTTTGAAAGATTTCACTATGTAACACATTTTATGTTCCTGGGTTATAAATGCCATTTCCTAATTGGTTCTATCATAAAAACATGGAAAATATTTATTAAATTGCAAAATACTTGTTTTTGTGGGACATCCGGCAGCACATGTTGCTATAGTTTTTCAATGAATATCTCATCAAGTCTCAACCAATTCAACATAGTTTGTGGCAGCCACAAAACCAAAGTTTCTGGAGTATATCAACTATTTTCAAAGTAAGTACCACACAATTAAACAGGAAACAACACTTTCAAACCAGGAACATAAAATATTTCAAATTTTGTTACATAGTGTTACATCTCCCTCCATGAGTCTGTCCAGGCCCCGAGATCCTCAGGAGAAACTCTTCTCTTAGTCCTACCACCTGCAAGGGACACAATACAAGTGCTTCTTGATAGCTGCCCCAAGGCTCAAAAATTTACTTCCCAAAGAGGCTAGAATTGCCTTCTTCTTTCTGTCTTTCCATAACCAGGTAAAAGAAGATTTTTTAGGAGTTCACTGTACTGTTTAGATCATTTTTAAAGTTTTTTTTTTTTTTTACAGAACATCCTTTTGTTCAATTTTAATGGACACTTTCATGTGCTTTTAGCTAAGTCATGCTGATTTTAATTTGCAGGTTGTCTTGAATCTCAGTTTGGGTGGGGGAAATGGAGTAATGATAAGAATGCCACAAATATAAAGTTTCTTACTGTGATTACCCACTCTTCTGGGTTTTCTGCCTCTTACAAGTAAAGTGTGGTGGGTGAATAGAAAAGTAAAGGTCTTCAGCTCATTGCATTTGAGAACTCCTGCAGACTTTGGCTTCTGAAAGATTCTTCTCTGAAATTCTTGAGATTTATTTTATTAATACTCCTTTATGATATACTAAGTCTCGTAGTTAAATATTTATATTTGAATACATCCATAAACACTTTAATATATTTATAATTTTTTTAGGTACATGAGCACTTTGACGTTCCAATTGATGAAGATCCAACTTTTCAGGACCAAACTGTTAAAGAAACTCTTCTCAGAGACACTTTTAGAATTATCTTATCCAACCAGTCCTCTTCAACTGCTTTCTTCAAGGCTTTATGGAATGTGTACCGAACAGCAGAGATTAAGGTATGTATGAATATCAAATGACTATCAAATGTAGTCCAAGAAGCTCTGATCCATGATAGTACCGAGAACCATGGATTTCTCAGGGGCTGATGCAAGTGCCCTTTGCAAACAGCTAGATTCAAATTCTGAGAGTGAGCATATATAAAATTTGTTATTGAATTTACAAGTATGATTACAAAGGGGGAAAAAACAGAGAAATATGACAAAAATATATAGAAAGGAGGAAAGAAAAACAGACAGAAAAGGGGGCGAGGAAATAGGATATAGATGAGGCTCGTGCATTTCAGCTGAACTTTGATTCGTTTCTGCTGGCAGGATTCCGATAGACCCCTGTATCCATTTTTAGGCACCTCCCAAAAATGGGCAAGTAGCTGGATAGCCATTTTCGGTCTGCAGCTGAAAAATGTGCCTAGACCAAGCCCATTGGCGGCAATGGGAAATTTATAAGGCTCCTCTTTCCATTCCTGGGACCCTTTCCTTTCTTCCCTTCAAGGGAGCCTGGGTTTCAGCAACAGAGTTAAGGAAGCACCCTTCCTGGGACTTTTTCCTTTCTTCCCTTCTTCCCACAGGCTTTATTTCAGGGGCACCTGAGTTTCAGCAATGGGGTTAAGGAAGCAGACACAGCTTGCGTAAGACACATCATCTTTGTGTGCCGCATTGTACCAAATAGGGGAGGAGGAGCCATGATCAGCTGCCACATGGTCCTGTAACGGATGAAAAAATGTGACAGCTGGGTCCTTGTCAGTCTGGCCATCTGACCAAGCTGAACAAGCAGGATTGGTTGAAGGAAAACAGCTAAAACAGATTCACTCACAAGTCTAATATAAATGAAAGCTAGTGATATATATAAAATGACCGTATTTCCAAAATATATATTTTATTGATGCCAACCACAACAAAATATGATTACAAAATGGTACATGTTTATGGTCATTAAATGATGTATAGCAAACATTTATCTGTCCAACTTGGAGGGTGTGTTCCCATGGAGTCGTTGTTGTTTTCATTATCATCACCTTTCTCTGTCACTCATGCACATACAGAAGTGATAATGATGACAACGACAATGACTTTATAGAAACAGAGGACCAAATCTGAACTATTAAAGTAATGCAGTTTGACACCACCCTAACTGACATGACTTAATGCTATGGAATCATGGGAGTTATAGTTTGGTGAGGCACCAGCACTCTGGCAGAGGCTAAAAACCTTGCAAAACTGGGGATTCTGGAAATGGATAAATGTGAAACCATGTGTGTACAGTTAAATATGTGGTTACAGGGATGAACATAACTGAAGAGTGATAGTTATGATGTCCCTCTTTGTATTTTCTTCAATGAATCTTCTTCACACAAATTCCTGAGTCACTAGTTTCAATATTATAGTATAATAACATACAACAGTCTATGATGTCATGTTTTCTATGCTAGTTTTATTCAGTTAGATTTTTAAAAAAACATTACAACTTCAAAACAATCACAAATGCCCATAGCTGAGTTTGGCCCTAATGCTGACTTGGATTTTTATATGCCTAATTAGAATGTCACACATGCTGGTAAAATGGCATTAAGTCTTGTAATTTGTTTACCTGGAAGCAAAATTCAGATATGTTTTGATATTTTATGTGGGTTCCCCTCCCCCATGACATTCTTTTTGCCCATAATGTTTAGCCCTTGAAGATTTAAAATTCTTCACCATCATATAACTGTGTTTACAAGACCATGAGATCATATCCTTTCTCCCTCGTTCCTCAAGCACTTTTCCTCAATAATGAATTCTTCCCTCCATCCATACACTTGAATGACTGGTTTGTCATTTTTTATAGTATAAGTGATAATACTTCATACACTCCAAATGATCTACGTCTTTCTAGAGTTTGGGACAGTGATTTCTTTGGATTACAACTCCAAGAATCTTCTGAGCAGCTGATGGATTCTAAGATTTGTCCTCCTCATAGTAACCTTCCTAAGTCAATGTTTTTGTTTTTTTTCCAAAAATTGGAAAGGATAGGAAAACCTCTTAACAGGCCACATGCTTTTCTTCTCGCCTCCTCTTTGCAGAATGAACTTCATCAGAAGGAACTGGACCATTGCTTAACTTTAGAAGAACTCAATCCATTGATCAGTTTTGTCCAAGAGTTTCAGAATCTAGGACAATTTGAAGTGGTAAGTCAACATGTGCTTTTGTCAATGGGAGGTACACTGGTTTATTAAAGAAGAGATAGAAACACGTATCACAATTCTCAACATGACTTTACTAATGTGATCCACATTTACTTTTCTTTCAGCTTTTCCCCTCTACTGCTCCCAAGAGCCATTTCTTGCTGCATGACCTTTATCGGATGGCGAATGTAGGGGAAAACCTTCACTCAGTCCTGACTGTTCACTGGCTCCTCACAAATTTACTTGAACAGTTGCAAGTCATCAACAGAGTAGCACACACAAATCAACTAGGAGGGTAGGATGACAATTTGCTAATATTTGTGGGTTTGCAGTTCCAATAGGTTACAAGCTTGATTTAACTGGTACATGGTGAGTTGTAGGGCCTCCTATAAAGATACGTTTTTAGCACCATCAGCTTTATATCAACAGGCATTCACAAGTGAAGGCCACAGCTGAGTTTCCATTAGAGCGATAGTCTGGCCTTATCATCTGCCATAAGGTGCATTACTGTATACTGTCAAATATTGTATGTGGCGCAGTCTGTAATAAATATGCCATTCTGAACTCTAATTTTACCAGCTTTCCCAGCTGTTATGTATGCTATATAAAAGTAAGAGATTAAATTGCATGAACAGAAAACTGGGGAAAAGAGAATGAAGAGAATCAGAACTGTTTTTCAAAAAATACTGAGCAGCAGGTCAGAATCAAGAAATTTGGGACCATACAAGTGCATTTACCTGCACTTGAGCTATGATTGTTTAAATTTCCTCCATCACTCCATGTGATATTTGCTAATCAGAAAAGCCTTGTAATAAATCTAATTGTGTTTGTAGAATCTTTTTGAAGATTTCAAAGAATAGGGTCAGAATATATTTTCTCCAAAGAATTAGATTGCTTTGATAAAATCAAATTCTGCCTGACTTTTTTGTTTCTGGAAACAGACATGTATCAAATCAATTCAGATAATCAATGAACTAACCACATTTCAGATGCAACTTTTAAACTGATATATGTTTGTTTCATTGCAGGATCCTCACGGCTGCAAAAGTAACTTTATATGTCTTTATATGTCTTTAGAATAACAGAATAATAGAGTTGGAAGAGACCACATGGGTCATCTAGTCTAACCCCTTGCCATGCAAGAAAAGCACAATCAAAGTACCATGACATATGGCCATCAAGCCTCTATTTAAAAGCTTCCTAGGAAGGAGCTTCCACCACACTTCCACCACTATTCATGGCTAAGGAACTACATGCATCAGAAGAGTAGCAAGAACATATTTGCACACATTCTGCCACTCTTCTTTAGTTCTTTAGCCATCAATAGTTGGCACATAGAATACTTGTTGCTTTAGTTCAATATTCTTGGCGACTTCTCTATGTGCACACATTTGATAATACGATTATGAGTGATCCTGACTAACTGAATATCAAAATTGACATCAGACAAATATTTATTACAGTTGGACAGATCTACATATAAACGCTCCTCTTTTGTTCTTTGACTGCCAACTGATCACAATAAAGAATTTTACCATTTTTCCATAGGCCAAACAAGAATTTGGGGAATGCATCTTGGATAAAAGCTAGATGGTCAAGACTTAGGTAAGAATTAAGAAGATGATGACTTGGAAATTGATAGTTCAAGCAGTATACAGTCACCATTAGAGAACCATTGCCAAATGAGCCTCCCAATGCTACTGACCACAAACCACAAAAAACAAAAAACAAAAATACACTTTGCTTGCAATGGAAGGGATGCAACAGAAAGCAAAACCAAACAAAATGAAACAAAGATCAAAGAAAACATAAAAACACCATATTGTGGGGTGGAAAGAGCCCATATTTGGTTCTTTGTATCCCACTTACCTTTCCATCCTGCTGGCAAGAACATGGCAGGGATTTTGATTAAATTAGGCCTTCAAAATCGAAATGCTTGGGATTGCCACTTCCCACCAGATTACACACATTGAATTTATGTAAATGCTGCTTTCCTCAGTTCTCATTAATTCAGTTGATCCACTCCAGTTGGGACTAGCAATTGGATTTAGACTTTAGGCCACAGTCCTATGTACACATATGCATCTAGGAGGAAATTCCACTACATTTAGTAGGATTTTCTTTTGAACTGATATACTTAGTGCTGTACCATTAACCCCCCACCCCCCGATTACCCATTGCTTATCTTCCATTGATCTGATGGTCAGTAGATATAACTAAAGAGAGCATGCTACCTGAACCTCTACCTGTTGTTCAAGAGAGGAAATTTCAACTGATGTAGCTTGTCAAATGAGCTACATTTCTTTTCTATATAGCTATTCAAGATGTAGGAGCTTGTCCATTTTTATGAACAGGATAAATACATTTTAAAATGTGTAAGAAACTCCACATCTCTATGTGACATGCAAAAGATACAATATCCTCTGCAAATGTTTTTTTCTGTGCTCTTCTTCTTTTTATTTGTAGATCGTCTTATTTAGAAAAAGGTAGCATCAAAACAAAAGTTTATTCTCCAATCAGTGAAAAGCATGAAGGTAAGATGGCTTCACATTTTTCACTATTATTTTCAGAAAATTGTTGTCTGCTTGAAAAAAAGGAGCACTGATTTAGGATCTGTTTGCAAACCAAGGTATAAATCCAATCCATATGATGGCCGAGCCATATGATATAGCTGATCATCATGAGAGAGAATCTTGATTTTTCACTATACCATTGTAAACCATCAAAACTTGTGAGTTGAAATTGTGTGAGAAATTTCTCAAGCTGATACATATGAATGAGTCTGCTACTTGGAGATACTTCACATAGCTAGTTTTCCACTTTGTCACAATGAACTGTTATTATTATTGTTTCTCTGCTGTTCCAATTTTACTATTTCCAATTGTTGATGCATGCAATGAATGCTATATGAGCAATTCTACATCATGTTCTTTTGTTTTCTAGGTTTGCACTCTTTAAATTTGGCTAAAGAAATACATTGCAGCCATGGTAAGTCATGTATATAGGTGCAAAGTCTAGGATTGTGGCAGTAGATGGCACTAATTCAACAAGTATCCATCCAATATTTATATCTCTCCCTTTCTGAAAGGATGTCACTTCTGCCTGTTCCATTACTGTTGGTAAATTGTAGTTTAAAGAAAACATATATTTGAGCAATAGATTTGTAGATCTCAGAGAGAACAGATATGCTTCAATAATCTTGTAATAGGATAACTGACATTACATACAACTGTATCACTATTAGAAGTTTTTACAGTCTGGGTTGGTGTGAGTTTTCTGGGCTATATTGTCATTTTCTAGAAGCATTATCTCCTGATGTTTTGCACACATCTATGGCAGGCATCCTCAGATGTTGTGAGGTCTGTTTGAAACTGGGCAAGTGAGGTTTATATATCTGTGGAATGTCCAGGGTAGGAAAAATAACACATGGCTGAGGCAAGTGTGAATGTTGCAATTAGCCACCTTGAAACATCAGGAGAGAATGCTTTGGAAGCATGGCCATATAGTTCGGAAAACTCACAGCAACTCAGTGATTTCAGCCTTTGACAACACATTTTTACAAACTTCACATAATTTAAATTTTATCAATGGAGAAATATATCTTTCATTTTAATCCATGCTAATTGTTCTTGTTGTTCTGGCTAAAACCTTATTACAATAAATGTTGGAAGTGTGCGTGTGGTGTGTGTCTGTGTGTGGAGGGGGAGGAATGTGGAACTACACATGTCATCTGGTGCTGATTGATGTATTTAAACCTAGAAAAATAGTTTAGGCAAGAAAACAATAAATGTCTGAGAGAAGTAATAATAAATTCAGTATGGCTAAGAATAAAGAGTAGAACCATTCACAACATTTAACTCAGAGTTTTCCAAACTATGTGTTATGACACCTTAGTGTGTCCGCTGCATTTTGTTGGTGTGTCACATGAACATAATGAGAAACCTCCAAGTCTGTGTGAAGTAAACAATAGATCATATCTTTTTCAAAATATAAATGAAAGGTTTGCCTTAGATATGTTGCATCCCCATATTATTATTACAATGTATCTATGTGTCCTTATCTCTCAAAAGGGGGTGGTTTACGCTCCAGTTTGCTAGTGAAATTGAATTACTGTGTTGCGAAATTATGCATGTCTGAAAAATGTGTTACCAATGTGAAATGTTTGGAAAGCTCTGATCTAACTATTAGAAATGTTTTTTTTATTAACAGATAAAGATACCCTACCTCATATCAAGCAAATCTTTACTACTCCACATTTGGACTTAAATCCTAATTTTGATCCAAAGATCAAAGAATACTACTCTGAAGTCCCATTTGATGTGGTGACAATCATGATTAAAGCAGAACCTGCAAATTGTCAGTGTGAAGTTCACTTGGATGAGAAGAATGGACCAAGGTACTTGAGATATTGTTGTTATTCAAACCTTTGGCCCTTCAGTTGTTTTGGACTTCAACTCCCAGAAATCCCAGCCAGCTTACCAGCTGTTAGGAATTGTGGAGGCCGAAGTCCAAAACAGCTGGAAGACGAAAGGTTGGGAACAATTATTCTAACAATATGGTATAAAACCGCTAAAGCCTACAACAATGTTCTTTATGACTAATCGGTTGAATGGCTGTTAGCATAAATAAAATAAGTGTGATTAATTTAGTCTGTAGTGAAACAGAAAATATCAATCATTCTAAGAAACTGTAGGAAGCAAAGATTTTAACAAATACTCTGAGCACAACAATTCTTCATGATGTTCAGTTAATCCAGTCCTTACTATTCCCAGAGCCATATTGATGGTCCCACTGTCTTTGCTTAAAACATGATCCCAGAGTCTAACCAATATCTAATCTATTAACTTTTGTTGTTATTGATTTGTGATAAATATTCTGGAACAAGAAATTGCAAAATTTGATACACCAGAGATCTGAAATGCTCTTCAGGGCCAATCACAATAGATACAGGATGCCAGAATAAATGCTTCATGGATTTGTATGAGAGATACTTTACAATTCTTTCAAGTCTTATTCACTCGACTCTCCCTCTGAAACAAAACAATCACTACCAGTGAAAGGCTCAGTGGTCCTTCATGCTTGGATGGTAACCAATTTCTAGGGCTAGTTGACGTATATAATCTCATTTGATTTCAACATCTTGTGGCAACATATGCCATCATATTGTCAGCTGTCTTGCCCAGACTAAGGCTGAAACCTATATTTAACAGTATTGTGTGTCATCTAAATTTCAGATCATCTGATACCTCTATCAACTAAAATTGGGTCAGCTTTCCCATGATTTCTGCTGCTGGGTTATTTTCCTGTGTGGTTTAACCTCCCAGTACTGAACACTTCACTAAGCTTATCTTGAGTGAAAATAAATTTATATTAAATTATAAATGGTTTTCATTAATGACATATGTTTGACAGTGCCAGTAATTTAATATTAAAATGTATGCGAGCTTATTAAAGATTGTTATGATGGGGAAAGGAAACTATTAAATGTAGAAAAGTAAAACAATGCAATGATTTTTTAAAGATAGACAAAGACAAATTAAATAACATGCAGGCAGTCATTGAGTTACAGACATCCAACTTACATATAACTCTTGTGACCTCATCATACGGGCTAATTTGGCAGTCATATGCTGGTTCCTCTCCCTTTTGCCACAGAGCCCATTGCATAACATACATCTACTTTCAGCGGGGCTCCGTTGTAAAAGGGGAGAGGAAGTGGCAGCAACATGAGAGGCTTCCTGGGTTGCATTAGCAAAAATGGGAGGAAGCCAGGCGGCAGACACTTCCCTCCCTGGGGTGGGATCAGCACTAAGTTAGGCAATATGGGGCATGGGACAATGGGTTTTCCGTGCCCCCCACCACGACCTCATGGATTCGCCACAACATGTGGTGAATTCATATGCTAATGTCATCAGGTCCCTAGTTACAAACAGAGGTGGTACAGCAGGAAATCTATCCCTAGGAGGGTACATTCACTCTTGCAAAGTTATCATGAGGAAAAAGTTTCTCCACTGAAGCTTTATCACCAATCCTTGTTTCCACAACAACCCCAAATTTTCAAAATCTAATTGTTGCAGAGACAGAAAGTGAGCTGAAATCTTCTGAACAGGGGCACAGGTAGCAATCCAAAACTAAGAACAAAAATGGCTGAAGTTACATTGAAAAACTGGAGTAGCTGTCCTGCAGAGGACCAAAGTATGCAGGGCAGATTCTGTGGAAGAAGGTAATCCTTTATGTAATCTGGACCCAAATATGTAGGGCTTTAATTTGTAATTTGCCTGGAGACTAATTGGTAACTAGTGGAGTGACTGTAGTATAGGTATAATATGCTCCTTCCTGGATGTTCCTATAACTAGTCTGGGTGCTGTGTTTTGAACTAATTGAATTTTCTGAACTTGGTACAGAATATATATTACCAGTGTAAAGTGCATTGCAGAAGTCCAACTTTGAAGTTGCCACTTTAAGTATGACTCATAAATGGCTAAGATTTCATTTGCCATTCAGTGGCAAAGCACTCCTGAATTCCCATGAAGTTGTTTTGATGATTTTAGTGATGTGCCTTCAATGCCTTTCTGACTTTCACAATCCTAAAGTGACCTATCAGATTTTTTATGGCAATATTTATTCAGAGGGAGTTTGTAATTCCCTTCCTCTAAGGCTGAAAGTGTATGACCTGCCAAGATTATCCACTGAGTTTAGATGGCTGAGTCTTCCAGAGTCCTTGCTCAGCATTCAAACCACCATACCATCCTGATTTCATATTGCCATGGCAAATTAATAAAATTCCTTTCAAACAAGCATTTTGTTTTTGCTTCAGTGGCTTTTTGCATTTTTGCTGCTGAAATTCAGTTATGTGTTTTGCTGTTGAATTTTGACAGCTTGGTGAGTGCATGTGTTGCCAACAGCAGAAGTCTTAGGGAATCTGATTGAAAGTTCCATGCAAGGTGGCAACAGAAAAAAGGTGCCCGAAGGCATATATCATGTCAGAAACATCCTAAGCATCTGAATAAGGAGGGAGCAATAGAGATATCATAGACAAGAAGGAATAGAAGACAAACTCTACTATCTCTTGTCATGGATCTTGTTTACCACAGTGCCCAGCTTGATGGGAGTTGTAAAAATATAAGACTTTCCCTGTTGTTCAGTTGCACCACTGAAGAGGGAAATTCTTTATCTCAGGGCCCTTCTTCACAGGCCCCAAATCCATGAAAGATAATGGGTTTACCTGAGGCATCCAAATGCTGCCTAAGTTAAATCTGGATTAATCCAAAGTAAACTGAGTTTTCCCAGTTTACTTCAGATTAATTAAACGCATCGACAAATCTGGACCTTACTGAAAGGCCCGCATTTGTTTAGGTGTTGAGTCTGTGGGAATTAACTTCCTGGACTGTGTTTTTCTATTCTATCTGTGCATATCTTTAGGCTGGAATAAAATGTTTGCCAAAACACATTCAAGCCATTTCTCTAGCCACACGCCAAGAGAAAGCCTGGAGTTGTGGGAGGGAGTGGGGACTCAAATCCAGGAGGAAGTGGGTTAAAATAGTAAAGTGTAGTACAGTATAGTGTAGAAGGGCCCACAGTTATGACAAATAAGTAGGCAATACCTAAAGTCATTTATGTGTACTCCCATGCATTCCCACAATCCTCCATCCTTGGGGACAGGGTGAAAATGTTCATTGCTCCCTCAAAAGTTTCCATTAGCCATTTTGCCAATAGGAAATTCTGCTTTTCGAATGTTTGAGATTTTTTTTCACTCATTTGAGCAGGTATGGGCAAATCCAGGCATGCAGGCCAGATGAGGCTCCTTGGGCTCTTTCCTCTGGCCCTTCTCTGCCTTGGCATGCTTCTCAGCCTAGGGAACCTGTGCCCCCAGGCTGAGAGGAGGGTCAGGTCAGCCATGTGTCAAATCCCCCACCAGATGCCCATGGGCTCCCCTTCCCCCCACCACACAATGTGGCCCCATGTTAAAAAGTTTGCCTATGCCTACATTAGAGGCTTTCAGTCATCCTACACAGGACTTCTTTTCAATTGCTTAAGTGCCAGGATTGAGCTATCCAAACACGTCCTATTGCTTTGACACACTACACAATTATAGCATTTTGAATATACTTTAACTGCCTTATCAACTTCCTATGGAATCCTGGAATTTGTAGTTTGATGAGCTACTACAGCAACCTGGTTGAAAATTCCAAATTTGTTGTTGTTAACTATCATTTATTTATTTGCTTCACTTATACCCTACCTTTCTCACCCCACAGGGGACTCAAGTTGACTTGGACTTATGGAGTGAATGAGAGATCTCCAAGTCACCCTATCATTGTGGAGAGAAAAAGTGGGGTATAATAATATAATAATAAACTTTATTTGTACCCCGCCACCACCTCCCCAAAGGGGACTCGGAGCGGCTTACATGGGGCCAAGCCTGAACAAAAATTACAATATAACAATACAAATTACAATCAAATAAACAACATAACAGTAAAATATAAAACATCAAAGCATATAAAACAATATACACAAAACATAAGAACTAAGCATAATGGCAGACAAACAAAGAGCGGGCTGCATGTACATAAAATGATTTAAAAACTCCAGGTGAGATAAGGGGGGAGAACTAATTGTGTAAATAAACATAAATATAATAATATCACCATCAATAACCCTGGTCTTCCAGACTCAGGACTGTGACTTCCCTGATCTGAGTCTATCCACCTGTGGTCTCATTCCTTTTCCTGCTGCCTTCTACCTTACCAAGTATTGTTTTATTTTCTAGTGGGTCATACCTTCTCATGTTCAAAATACATCTCAGTTTAGGCATCTTGGCTTCTAGAGTCACTTCAGGCTTGATTTGCTCTTGAACCCACTTTTTGGAGTTTTTTTTTAAGCAGTCCACCATATATGTAGAATTCTTCTCTAGCACCACAATTGATTTTCTTTCTATCAGTTTTCTTCTTTTTCCAACACTCACAAAAATACATACATAGAAATAGAAAATATGATTGCATGGACCATCTCTAATATTAAGTGATATTATCTTCACATTTCAGGATCTTGAAAGCAATTCATTCTTCTTATATTATGCCCAAGATACTGTTCTCACAGCCTGACCAATGGAACTATAGTACAACTGAAAATATTACTAAGAACAAAGGGGCAAAAAGAAGGATGCCAAGACTTCATGTATATGTCACATATCACTATTTATAAAGAAAATATGAAAGATTTTGAAACCAAAGATTTTATGTTCTGCGATACCTTTAAAATGCACTGGAATGTATACATACATAGATACGTTAGGTATATTTTCACTTATATTTTGTTTTTCTTGTCACCTCCACTCCTCCCTATTTCTAACAGTGCTGCAAATTATCCACTTGGGCTTGGAATAAACAGAGTAAATATTCTGGTAACAGATGTGTCTCAGTCCGTTCATGAAGTTGTCAGCATCTACCGAATCATCGTTTTTCGAGAAGACCGTCCCAGTTTGCCACTATTTGATGACTTTATGGTGTGTGGTTTTGTACAGGTACTTTTTCATCTTTTATATTTAAAAAAGAATGAAATACATACCAATGGATGCATAACAATTCTGATGTTCCTTTGTATATCAGTATTTTTCTCTATATCTTTCTTCAGTAGGTACAATGCTATCTGCAAAACTTTTTCTTTCTTGCTGTCTGCATTTTTCATTCCCAATCTTTTGCAAATGCACCTCCATGCACATATGTATGACTGCTGTTGAAACTCCAGCTCAACTTGAAAGTAATGTGGAACAAGTTTTGTTGTTACTCAGAACATATAATTTTCTTAGGATATTGAGGGGGCAATGCAAGTATACACCTTTAATGACATAGATGCATTCTTAGGTACAGCTTTTTGTACAGGCACTTTGGTGCCAAAGGCAGAAATAACATGGAAAGAATAGAGATAGGTTCATGTAACACACAAAAAAGAGTTACAGCTTTAACATGTTTGAGCAAACATTTTATTCCAGTCTAAAGCTAAGCACAGGTGGAATGGAACAATGAGGTCAGGTGAGCTTTGCATGATTTATTTAAAATATGGGATTGTCTAGAAACCAAGAGTTCTTCCAAAACTGGATCTAGAGATTGCACTTTCTTTCACTAGCTTCAACTGTTCTAATAATGTCTCTTTTGGTAGCGAAAGGTGTAAATCTATGCTGTCTCCAGTCCACTGTCACTATCCTCACAATGCTATTGTTGCTTTTTTGAAATGGCAAAGTAGACAAAGTGCAAGGAAAAGGGGACTGAGCAGGCATAAAAATACTTTGTAATTATTATTATTATTGTTCCACTTTTTCTCTTCACAACGAGACTCAAAGCAACTAAAAAGCTTCTTTCTCAGAGTCTTGCCAACTAAAATATGTTTGTGCTAGTATCTGCTTCAAAACAATAGAATAACTTATAAACCATTATTTTCATCTTTGCAGAAAACTCATTCCTCCATAACATTGTTGAGGGGTATTTTTTTGCTCTTTCTGACTTTTTAGCTATATTTTAATAATAAAATATTAAACCCTTGTGCCAGCTGATTCAAAGATTGGGTTGAAGGTTGCCGGTTTGAATTTGTGAGATGGGGTGAGTTCCCATCTGTCAGCTCTAGCTTGAAGGGACAGCAGAGAAGTCTCCCACAGGATGGAAACACACCTAGGCATCCCCTGGACTATGTCTCTGTAGATGGCCAATTCTCTCACACCAGAAGCAACTTGCAGTATGCTCTCAAGTCACTTCTGGCACGAATAATAATAATAATAATAATAATAATAATAATAATAATAATAATAATAATGTAATATGGAAATCAGTACATTATCAGGTTAGTCTGTAGTGCTCTCTGGCAGTTCTTTAGTGCTCTCTGGGAGTTCCAGATAATATGGTCGAGGACTCTGGTATGAAATTCTATGAAACCCATTGAGAGCACTATACTTACTTACTAGGCAGACCAGTTGTCTAATGCTGTATAAGGCAGTTTCTCATTTGCCTAATCTGTCCTTGAATAGAAATGGCTCTTAGTTGTATGAATTGGGTAGGTAACTTGATTAAATTGCATTTTTAATAGTTTGTGACTTTTGTTTACAATGCACTTCACTGACAGCATTTCTTTCTCTTGGAATTCATTAATTGCAAATGTGATCACTTAGGAAGACTTTTCAAAAGGGAAATACAAACAAGATCCTCTGTGTGGATTTGGAGCATTTGTCAGGATCTTTAAATGTGCCATTATTCCCTTGGACACAGGGGGTCTTGGGGATTGTGTTTCTCAAACAGGAGTCCGTTCTGTATTGCAAAGTATTTTGAAAATGAACAACTTCCAAAAGCAGATTGTCATCTGGATAGGGGCCTGCTGTTGAAAGAAAAGATTTTTCAAAAGACCTCTCTCAGTGCCTAAGTATTCATCAGAACAATATTTTGTATTAATGCAAATGGAGGCACACCATTGTAGTGCCCTATATGTAGATAAAGAGATGTAAATATCATTTTAAAATATGTTGTCTCGAATCTGAGATATTTCAGATGAGAAATTCTCTATTGCGTGAATATTGCAGAGACAGGGTAATTTTCTGCTTGGGAAGTACATTGCTCACACTGGCTGAGTTTGCCTGTGCCAAAGATCAGAGACTTCCGTGCTTTTTCTTTTAAGTAACCAGACACCTGTTCTAGGAGTAAAAGGATAAACGGAGAGCAAACGGACGGGGTCTTCTTTAGACACTTGACTAGGCACAACTGGACTCAGGCAGAGGAAGGAAAAAGGTCAAAGACAGTGGCGTGGTCTTTCTCACAGCGGGGTTTCAGTTGAAAGTCCAGTCCTGAGACTCTTTTCTTTCAACTCTAATCCTGTTAGGATATTCAAGTTTCACTGCAAGCCGATACCGTGATGAAGGTTACAATACAAAGGGAGACCCTGGGATGTTGTTTCCAGTCTGCCGACAATTCTCATGCATTTGAGTAATCCTGGATTAAGTTCAAGGCTATTCAGCAAAGAAGTGTGCACTTCCAAAGCCGTGCGGCCCCTAAGAGTACCATATTATTATTATTATCTCTTTTTTATAGTGCCTATAATATCCTCATTAAAAGCAAATTAGTCAGGAGATAAACTGTTGAGCCATGATGGCATCTTAAAGGGCTGGGGTTTCCCTTTGTTTGCATTGTGCCATTTCATAGGGCTGCATTTTCTGTAAACGAAAAGGTTCCGAGCTTTCATTTGTGTCAGGTTGAAAGGGCTGTATTTAAAATGGATTTGTTTCAGGAAGGAAGACAAATTGAAATTATTACTTAGGGCCAATGGATCTAGCATCATGTTTCAAAGAATGTTGTTGTTGCTGTATCAGTGACCCCTAAAATGCAGGACTGGGATCCATGGATTGAAGACAGTGAGGAATGTAGCTATCATGCAATGTTCTTTAGAGGTTTTGGATGTGAGAACATGAAATTTATTCTCAGCATGTGCCTCCAAACCAGAAAATGACTCTGAATTCTGAGACACTGGGAAAATATGGGTTGCCTAGTTGCTGTTTTTAAATGCAATTGCTGTTTTTAAGCTCAGCTAAAATTATTTTTTCTGTAAATAGTTACTATTACAAAAGAGTAGGGCAAAGTAAAAAAAGAATAAAAGATTCTATGTCACTGTTGGAGAGATAGTCCTCCTCTATCTAGAATCTGATATACATGTAAAGTAGATGTCAATTTAAAACATTTAAAAGATGCTAGAGTGTTACAGGCCTTAATCTTGAAGACTTAAAGTGTGTTTAAGAATATTGAACTGATTAATTTTATTTATATACTGATGAAAATCCTTCCAAATGATTTTAAGATAGCTTTTCCCAGATAATTAATCAAATAATATTTTACAAGAGGTGCCCCCATTGTGTTCTCTCCCTCTCTTCCTTTCTCTTTCTCCACTTTGTCTTTTAATTGTGCCATTCCTCCTTTCCATCTCTTAACTTTGGTAACAAGATGAAAATTGGTCCAAAGTTCTTTTCCATACCTGTGCCATTTGCTAGTCCTTGGAACACAACTGCATTACAATACAACACAGGCGTCCCCTTGGACCACAAGAAGTTCAAACCAGTCCATACTCCAGGAAATAATGCCTGACTGCTCACTGGAGGGAAGGATATTAGAGGAAAAGAAGTACTTTGGCCACATAATGAGAAGACCGGAAAGCTTGGAGAAGATAATGATGGCAGAGAAAATGGAAGGCAAAAGGAAGAGGGGCTGAACATGGGCAAGATGGATGGATGTTATCCTTGAAGTGACTGGCTTGACCTTGAAAGAGCTGGGTGTGGCTATGGCCTACAGGGAGCTCTGGTGTGGGCTGGTCCATGAAGTCATGAAGAGTCGGAAACGACTGAACGAATAAACAACAACAGGCAGTCCCCATGTTATGAACAAAACAGGTTCTGTAGGTTTGTTCTTTAGCTAAATTTGTATGCAAGTTGGAACAGGCACATTTTAAAGTAACTCCAGCCAATATACCCTGTTCAGAAGATTTCACCTCACTTTCTGTCCCTGTGATAACTGGATTTCAAAAATTTAGCTTGTTGTGGAAGCAAGAATTGGTGATAAAGCTTCAGTGAAGACACCTTTTCCCCATGATAACTCTTTCAGGAGTGATTTTCCCTTCTGAGAGATAGGTTTCTCTCTCTTCCAGTTGTATCACCCCAGTTCTTCACTATGAATTGTTTGTAAGTGGGATATTTGTAACCCGAGGACTGCCTGTGCTCAGAAATGAGAAAGAACAGAAGTCCAACAAGAGCAAAAGCATAAATGTCCAAATTCATTGGTGAACTGAGAAATAAAAGGATCAAATATTTAAGGTGAAATGTTAGTAGAAAGGTTTCTTTGTTTTCACTCACTTGTTACACATGCAAAAATAAGTGTGTGTGTTTATGTACTTGGTTGCCACTGTAGATTTTCTGCCCCTGTCTCCAAGCAGCCTGAAACCTCCCTATACTTGAAAATGCTGAATGTTTTTCTACAAATGATCACAACTGAATGAAATGGCATCAACAGACTAGTTTCGTTACCAACCTGAATGCTGAGGAAGGACTAACTCCATTTGTCACTTAACTCATTTAAATTCACTTTAAGCGCCCCCCCCCCTGCCTTTATATGACGTTTAGCTTTTCCTTCTCTGTTCTTATGTGGCTGAGACACTTACAATTACCTATGATCTCATTCTTCTTTGTTTCTCATGTCAGAGAAATGGTCTGCATACAGCACTTCAGATATTTTTCATGAATATCTCCTAATCTTCCTGCCTTCTTTCTTGCTCCTTTCCTTTGTGCACTTTCTTTCATGATCAATACACTATCAGACATCCAATTCTAGCAAGATTAATGAGAGCTAAGAAAATAGAAATATTTGATCCTTGAGCTGACAATAATGATCCAGATTAAAAGGATTTGACTAAGCTTTCAATAGGCTTCTTAACTCCTCACCCCTCATGTGTGATGGATTCATGAAGGCTGTGCATGCTTGGAACTAGCCTTGGACATTATCAGTT